CGATTAATACTGATGGCTCTTACCTAGGCTGTGATAATTAGGTTTTGATCTATTGTGACATTAATGATCACAATCAGTTGACTTTGAAATTGTCTTAATTAATGGCCCTTTACTCATAGGCTGCCTCCAGGAGGTTGCCTCTGGTGTGGTCTCCTCAGATGATCACCATCACTTCTTCTACCACTTTAACTCCTTCCCTTACTGTCCTCAGAGACAAACAGCATTGGAGGATCACTTTCTTCTCATATACTAAGATTATTTAACAGTATCTCTGACAGAGCAGTAAGATGAGATGACATTAGGTGAAATGAGGACCAAGCAGACAACCCAAGAGAACATGATGTCAATAGGAAAAATTCCATCTTAGAAAACAGCCAAAGTCAAGCATGGTGTTAACATGGCAATGACAAGAAGTTGTAAAACGACATGAGGTAGACTGAAATTCAAGAAATTCAGCACAAGCAAAAAAGAACAGTAATTGTTTTCCAATGAAGCTATCCAAAACCTTCACTCTCAATTCATGAACAGTTCATCTAACTTCTGAAAATTCTGACTTCAAAAGCTGGTTAACATTAATTTTTCAGGGAGAGCAAAGTTACCTTATCTTGTGGTCAGAGTTGAGAATTTTGTCAAGGTCAAACTGTTTCTTAAAGGGATTAGGCACTACTATAGACCTACTACATCAGAAACTCAAGTTTGTAGATTTCTGGCAAAGGTTTCTGTACACATGATGTTAAGTCCTTGTTTAGAACCTATCACACAGAATGCTCAGATGTTAAAAACATACACCCTAAGCCTTCATTTCAACAAATCTCTTATAATTAAAAACTATGTCCCTATTTTAGGAATAAAGCCAGTCTTGTGTTAATTTTTCTAAGAAGCTGATGGAAAAAGATGTGATGCCCATGAGGAACAAATGCTGCTCAGAACCCACAGTGTTAACTGCAAAAGTTAATACTTTCCACAATCAAAGATTAACTATACCAAATGGCATAAAGCAAGGGTGAAAACCAGGGGTTCTCCAATTCCCCTAAATCTTTTTTGTTCCTCTCAGTAACAAGAGCATTTCTAACCACCCACCAGCTATCTTTATTTTCTAGAAGAAATCCTTGTTATGATCTACGGTCAGTTCAGTTCACCCAGTATTATCAATCTTTTCCACAGATTAATCAATGAATAACATCACTGTCTGGAACCACAGTCATCGCCATCCACTACAAAAGTTCAAGGGGGGGGCAGACTGTTTTCTTGAACTTTGTACTCCCCTAGGTAAAATGATCATATGAACATAACAAATGCCAATGTAGATTAAAGTGGACAGTGTATGAGTATTTCAATACAAATACACCATGACTGGGGAGGGGTCAAGGTTGAGTAGGAAACAGAAGGTAGGCAATTCAAAGCATATACTCTTGGGTGTAAGGCTGACAATCTAGTTCTGAAAGCAGGAATTAGTGGATGAACTTAGCACAAAACTGGAACACACTGGGTCTTGACTTTGCCTTGTCACAGGCATGCCTAGTACCTTTTGACAAAGGCAGAGACCCTAACACTTTAATTCTAGAAAGAATATATTTGTGGATATGAGAAACAATTTTGGCCATTTCAAAGCTAATCATCTAAACCTTCTTATGGTGCAAACAAGTATTTTAGGCACTCAACTAGTAATTCTACAAGGCAGAGGCAATCACTACTTCTTAGCTTTAACAAATTCTTCTCTTTTATTGTACCTCAGGGTGAGCTGGGTCAAATCAACAAAATTACACCATGAAAAACCCCAAAAATCTTTCTCAAGGTCCTGTGGATAATGAGACAAGACAGCAAAGTGACTATCAAACAAGGAAAAAAAGAGTTAAGGAAAATCTGACCAAGATATGACAAGAGGACCAGCTCTTTATCAACAACTGAAAACAAAAGGCAGATGCAACTAGGGACAGGCAAGGTGTTAAGATGCCCTTCAGTCAACTGCTCCCAAGAGCATGTGAAAACTGAACTATTTAGAGAAGAACTTCTATGCCTCTCCACAGGTTTAAAATGGGTGCTTGCATACAAGATGATTTTCCTAGCAGCTGATTTTAGCCTCAGGGATAGCTTTTTAGCTAGGAATCAGAACAGGTCCTTAAGTAACCTTGGTAGGCTTTGCTTGGCAAAAGCTGGCTTCAATTTGTGGAAAGGGAGATCATGTAATGCTGACTACTGGAATTCAGAGAGAGAGAGAGAGAGAGACAGTGAGAGACAGTGTGTAGGGACTTTTTGTGTTGGTTGGTTGTTGTTTTTTTTCCCCTTGAAAAAAAGGTTTTTAAAGGACTGAATACAGGGGAAATATACTTTTAGGACTTAAGATCTAGACTTTTAACTCATAGCTCCTGATAGTTCTTCCATATGGAAGTTTCTTTTTGAGGATCCAGATCTTCAAGGGCCAGGACAGCACCTCAATATTAATAAATGTCAGAGGCAAAGGCAGATGTAATCTGGTTTCCTTTGTGCTATAGGCTGAAATCAATATTTGTCTCTGGTTCTGCACTATTCTACAGAACCTGCTGGTAAGTAGACAAGAAGGGAAAAAGGTGGTTTTGCCAGCTCTCAGTAGAAGATCAAGATGATTCAATAAAAACTGAGGACGGGGGTTAGGGGAAGAGAGCCAGGTATTCAGTGAGTAGATGATACTGGATTATTTAGTTCAAAGAAAATCTGTTTTTAATGACTATCTTACGTATTACCTGTAATCATGATAATCATGTGTCCCAAATGTCTCAAAATCATTGCAGTACCAAATACTCCAATGTTGTTCATTCACATACTATACTTTTGCTTCTAAAATTATGGGTATTACTGCTATTGGGAGGTATACGCTGACTACATGGACAGACTGATATTTCTCCAGCAACATATCTACAGGCGTAGATTACCTTCAGGGTAGCCTCTTCAGGGGCTCTGGCCTACTTCTGTCACCCTTGGTTGCTTATAAAACAAATCTGTTTCCTGATCATCCTTTCTTTTAGATGCCCATCAGAATAAATACTACTAACTGATAATTTGATTAGACCTTTAGGGACTTGATTTAGGCCTTTAATTCCTTTAGTTACAAAGTAAAAAGGAAGATGAAGATAAAACACCCATTTGATGTATGGGGTATGAGTTCTCATCCAATCAAAATTACTCTTCGGAAGGATTTTCCTAGATGACTTAAACCGAAAGCTTCATTGTTCTAGTCTGTCAAGTCACTAAGCAACAGCTGTCTTCTCAACTGTGCAATTTAATATTTGATATAATTTATACAAGAATACAGAATTCAATCAGCAGTTAAGCAAGAAAGCAATGATAACAAATGCTATGAATGGGTATATGATTTGCATATTGTTTGGCTCATCTGTGGGCTGGAGCAAGCCATCCATTCCCCTCATTATCATTACTCTGAAAAATGTAGAAATGGTTGAGTGCTTGTGGCCGTACAGCTGTATATTATAAAAATCAAAAGCAGTAACAAAAATAGCCTTAAAGGCTGGTGAACTCTAGAGTTAAGGCTACTTCCAGCATTAATTTTATTTCCTCAGCTTTAGGGCTGGGACAAAGATGTTCCAAATCCTATTTCTTCACTTTTAGCTGATTCTCTAGCCCTTTTTCAAGAAGGAAAGGGTAAAGAAAAGTTGGACATTTCTTGGAGATGCTAAGTAGAAGAATATATTTGTAACCCCAATAGTTAAGTAGGAGGAAACCCAAAAGCAAAGAGTTGGCTGACTTGGAGATGATAACAGCAGTGCCTGTCACTTCTTGAGTGACAGTCTTCCATGGAACTGCATTTTAAAATATATTGTAAGTAAGAGCACGAGAGCAGAAAACAGAAAGAGCATTAATATGTAGAGGACTCATAATAGCAAATTCAGAAGTCAATAAAGCAAGAAACACAAGCATATTTCAAATTCATGCTGGTACCAATAGCTTCCCTCCAAGAAATCTCCACTAAAAATAATGGCATAATGGGGCAACTCAGGGCCACTGAGGAGTGAGTCAAGTTTGCAGCCTCTTTGGTAATAGGAATGCTGTAATAGGAGGCCAGAAAAACTGACAGAGTTAGAGGGTGCCTAGCACCCTGGCACAATTAAGTGCCAGGCAGTCACTCCAACATATATATATATTTTACAAGTAAGATGGAAAGAAATAACATATACATACTATACGTGGTAATAAAGGCTATTGTATTTTACCCCTAGTCCATCATCCTCATGTACAACAGCCGAAAACCTCTAGTTATTTAGCTTGCTATCTTATAGCAGACTGACACCAACCTTGCAGAAGCAAAGTAAGAGTCAGGGATTGCTATGCAACAAGCCCCAAAATCCTGGGACTTCCTCAAAAAACTGCACTGTAAAATTTCCAGTCCTTAAAAGGGGTAGAGTTATTTTGGGAAGATAAGTAAGGATGATCATCGGTGAGTGGCTCAGAAGACCACACTAAAAACCCTGTATTCTCTTGGGTAGGGCTAAATGAGATTGGGAGAGCCCCAACAGACACGCAGGCAGTTGTTACTGGGTTTCAGAAACAATGGACAGTATCCTTTTCATGCCAACATCTCAAAACAAAGTCTAGCCGGTAATTAACATGTTCTAAGAACCAAAGCAAGAAACCAAAACTCATTATTGTAACAAAATCCCCCTTACCTAAAAAGTGACCAACTCTGAATAGATCAAGACTCTAAGGTGATTAAAAAGTTAAAATTCATTTGAGGTCACAGGAGCACAGAAGGAAGAGATCAGGGCAAAGGAAAAGATTGTGGGAATTACACACAGTATGTAAATGCCAGGTCTTCACAGAGACACATATCATGAATCAGACCATCAGTTATGTTACAAGAGAACCAATATCAACATTTCTCCTGTGGAGCACAGTGATAAGCACATTTTTTATGGACATGTTTAGGATAGAAGGGGTGGGTAGAAGGGAGAGGTGGCAGGGAGGTGAATGTATATGTACAAAGAGAAATGACAGAGGCCACCCCTCCTTTAGCTCTTTGATGTTTCTTTCTCTTTGTTTTCTGCATCCTCAGGATATGCATGCCATGTCAGTCTCTCTTCATAAAACGCTATCACAATCTGTGGACATTTCACATTAGCTTCTTTTGCAAGGACCAGGTCTGCTTCATCTGTGTCTTTCCTGAAGAGAAAGAATCCAGAGGTTTATGTCATTTCATGAACTTAACTTACTTGATTTTCTCTTCATTTTTATTTCAAGATGAAAAGGACTATGACACTTTAGTATTTTCAAGAAGAAATTTAAAGTAAAAGAAAGAAATAATTCATCTAGATCACCTAACCACTGGATCAGAAAGAAACCGGAATCTTCAACTAGAATTTAGAAACTAAACATGGTAATAAGCGCAGTCCAAAAAGATGGAATAAGTTATATTTATTCTGCTTTCCTTATATTTGTTTGTGAGCATGTGGTGAATACACATGAACTTACACAGTTTCTGGACCATCTAAGGGAAAAGATCCTAACTCTCCTGACCATATGAACTTTTAAAAAAAATTATACTAGTTCATTTACATAATTCAGATACACTGTTTTTGAGAACCATGTAAACTTTTAAGTATTCATTATCTTCCTGGTCAGTACTATGGATTGATATAAAAAGAAAACAAACTGGCATCTGCAATAGTACTTCTATAATGGAAAACTATAAAATCTAGTTTGCTATCACATATAACAGAAATCTAGCAGCATCTCTTTAAACATGTATCTAAATCAAGAAAAAATATTTTATATAAAAATTCTGAAATACAAAGAAATTTTTTCTAAAATATTGAGATGTTGAATATATTCAGTATTATGAGAGAGAAGAGGGGAAAATAACTTAGAGCTTATATGCAAACAAATAAAAAATGAAAAACAACCTTAGAGTAGATACTCAAATTTAGATTGTGGTGGAAAAAGCTTGTCAGTAAGTGAATATGAACCATAAGTACCATATGTAGTTGAGGATGAAAAAGCAAGTCTCTAAAATTCCTTACTTCTAACAAAGTACAGTGATTTTTATAACACAGGCTTTGAGTATTCTACCAATTAACATTTCCATCAGATAAAATGTAATCTTTTGATTATACAATTTCTAAGATACTTAGCTTGCTTCCTGGCTCACAAGATAAATCACTCTGTCTTTAAAACTCAAACTGAGGGGAAGGACTACATTTTCCTCTAAAGCTACTTCTTTCTGCCAGAAGATCTAACTTGTGCCTTGGCCAGTATTAGTCTTAATGCTTTTGGGTGATAGGATTTAGATGTGTGAAAACAATGTTATAATCTTTCTATCTTAATTTTACATTTTTCTACTATGTTGTTGTTAGGTGCCTTCAAGCTGACTACAAACCACAGCAACCTTATGAACAATGGATCTGAACTGGCTCTATCCTGTGCCATCATCACCTCCACTGTATGTGAGCTCACTGTTACAAGTTACTACACTAATCCAGCTCGCTCAGGGTATTGAGAATGCTTTGATCAAAATTCTTGGTTGAGGAGCGTTAATCTTACTACCTGTTCTTCCATACAAATCAAGTGGCAAGGAAACATCACTGTGAAGTGAGGCCCTGATCTTTCTCACCATTTCATCAGGAACATTAAATCACCACAGGAATCTGTTGCCCCAATGATCTTTTCTGGTTCTAGTCCTCTCTCAAAGCCCCGAGCGATATCATTGCTCTGCTATAAATAGAAAATGAGAGAGAAAGAAAAAAAAAATTAGCATCTGGGAGAAAGATCAAAAAGCCCTTCCCATTTCTCAGTTCAACAAAGTACAAAGCTAATACCATTTGACTCTAATTATTGTCACTAATTTAGAAAAATTCTTAAGAATTTGAGAAGTACACCTTTAGGAGCTCTGGTGGTTTGATGCATTACATGCTGTGTTGCTAACCAAAAGTGGTTTGAATCCACCAGCTGCTCCACAGAAAAAAGATAGCCAGTCTCTCCCCATGATGATTTAGTCTTGGAAGCCTGATGGAGGGCTGAGACGAGCTGCAATTTACATGAGGGCAGTCAGTTTAGTGTGATTTTGTTATTATTAAAATAGTTTTTTTCATTTTATAAACATCAAGTATACCATGTTTTTAAAGACTTTTATTTTCCCTTAACAATGACCAATATTTTCATTCTAAATTCACTTAGCATTTATACTTATGAAAAAACAGAAGTAAAAATGATTCAAAGAAACTACTCAAATGGCAAGCTTCAGAGCTCAAATACCCATTTCCATGAACCTAAGTGGAGAAAAAGCCCTTATTTCTTAGACCTTTCTGAAGTAGATGAATTGTTAGCATTAGAAAGCAGAACTAGTGCTCGCTTCGGCAGCACATATACTAAAATTGGAACGATACAGAGATTAGCATGGCCCCTGTACAAGGATGACACGCAAATTCGTGAAGCGTTCCATATTTTTATTAATTAAAAAAACCCAAACTACTGTCAATGCAAATTAAAAAAAAAAAAAGCAGAACTAGACAAAGATAAAATAAAAACAAGCTAGCAATTCACTAGAAGACTGCTAAAACTTGGGTTAAAATAAAATTTATACAAGAGGCATAGGCTAATCCAGTTTTACTGTCACTGGTAAAAGCTAAATGGTTAAGACTTTATACAAATCAGGTAGTTTAAACTTTTGTTACAACATAAAAATTTAGAAAGACTGCCCAAATGAATAAAATCTCTGGTATGATTTTCATAAAAAAACCCTCTCTTTAATCTGATATTCACCTTTGTTTTTGAGAGATACAAAGAATTCAGGGTCCACATGGTCCCCAAAGAGACCAGAACCCACACTGAGAAGGACTCCCTGTGTGGATCAAGGGGGAAGACACAGAATCATAAAAACATAGCCTCTTTTGGGGGCGCTTAAGGGGAAGAGGTTCCCAGATGTGCACACAGCTGCTCACAGCTGGAATGCTGGCACATGGGCTGAGTCGTAAATCATAGCTGGCGGCTGAAAACAGTTTGCCACATAGGGAGAAAAGGGAGGGAGAATAAAAGAAAAATGTTCAAGCTGCTGAAAAGGAGGCGAGGCGAGGAAAATGCTAAAATCACCACACAGGCAGTAATCTTAAATCAGACATAATGCCGACTAACAAATTTCTTTTGCAATGATCTAAAGAAAGAAACGTAATCCTCTCCTGTCCCTTTAAAACCTACAATCACCTATCTTCACAGCTGCCTACCTGACTGCTGCCAGCACTGTTGAGAATGCTGTTAGAGGCCCCCAACAAACATTATGGAATAAGGGATGTGTGGGGTTGTCGGAAGGTCAGCAGCATTCAAACCTGATTCAGAATAAAAATCCCTGCTGGTCAGTGACTCTAGACTACTAATTCTTAAAAGGATAGATATCCTAATTTTTTAAATACATACAAATGGCTGGTGGTGTTTTAACTTTAAAAAAAAATTAGCTGGGGGGAAAAAAATCAATCAAAAGAGTAATAAAAAGGGAGAGGGGTGAAAAGTGGAAAAGACCCAAGTTCTCACTCCTGAAGGAAAAAGTATTCTAAAATCATGTGCCTTTAACATGATATTCAGACCTCATCAATAGGGTAGTTTTAAAAAGATTATAAATAAAATTAATCGGGGGGGGGGGAGAAAAATAAGTTCACAAATCCAGAGTGAAAGCTGCACCTACCTATATACCCCCTCTTATCTCTTACTCTCACTCCAATTCTAATTGAAAGCTGGTCTTTCATTTCTCTTTAAAGACTAGGAATCCTTTATTAAAACTTTCATAAAAGTACTTTCAAAATTAAAACAACTATGAGATATCATTTCACCCCAGTCAAAATAGCAAAATTTAACAGAACAGCAAGCAACAAATGCTGGCGAGGTTGTGGAGAAACTGGAACCCTGATTCACTGTCGGTGGGAGTGTAAAATGGTGCAACCCCTGTGGAAAGCAGTATGGCGCTTTCTCAAAAAGTTGCAAATAGAGATACCATTTACCCAGCAATTCCACTACTGGGAATATACCCTGAAGAGACCATAGCTGACATCCAAGCAGATATATGCACACCCATGTTTATTGCAGCTTTGTTCACAATAGCAAGGAGCTGGAAACAACCTAAGTGCCCATCAACAAACGAATGGCTAGAGAAGCTGTGGTATATTCGCACAATGGAATACTATGCTGCATTAAAAAACAAGGAACTCATGCAATATGATTCAAAATGGTTGACTCTGGAGAACATTATGCTGAGTGAAATATCCCAGTCACAAAAGGACAAATATTACATGATGCCACTGTTGTAGAATGGGACTGTCCTTGGGGTTGGGGAGAGACTGAGTAAGATGGGTTCAATAATGTATACTGCACTGAAACAGAGGAGGGAGAGAACCGTTTAAAAGAGAGATATAACTGGGTATTTCTGTCATCACAGGAGACTAGAGCGAGGGCTACATGGTGGAGGGGACCTGGGGGAGGGTTTGTAAAACAATGAAAGAATCTTTTCTTTTACTTTTCCATAATTTTTGGACTCATGTACTTATAACTTGTTAGTCAAATCTGTGTCTTCTAGGTTGCAACACCCCCATGATACATCTTCAAGGATATGAACATGTACAGCCAAGCACAATCAATAAGAGTGCATCTAAATTCCAAAATCAATCTCCATAATAGTCTATGTGTTTCCTACTGCCAAAGGGGCCCTTTAGAGTAGTGAGAGAAGATCTTCACCCTGAAACCCACAGCGTCCCTTTTCAGCAGGAAGTAGCTAAGAGAATACGCCATCCCCTTTTCCTTATGACTCAGGGTGAAGTCTCTCTCAGGGAGGAGTGATAGGGTATGGCAAAGGACACACTGACAAAGAAGATTAATCAGAACTGGCTTTGACAAGCACTGTGGCATTTGGACAAGAACAAACTGGGAGGAGGGTAGAGAGAATAATGCAACAATGAATGAGTGGAAGCCCAAAATCTCTGTAAATGTTTATGAAAATTAATAAAATATAATTATAGAAAAAAAAAGTACTTTCAGCAATACAACAAGAAAATGTGCTCGAACAATTAGAAATGTAAGCATAAAAAAGATCAAATCTGTCTTTTACTAAAATGCAAATTGGTATGTTGGTGTTATTAAATGCGACCCAAAGTATTTATTTTCCATTCAAGGTGGGGGGAATCAGAAACAAAATATAGAGATATACACATTGACAAAGAGTCAAATGTATTGTAGTTGTTTTCACCTACAAGGAATTACAAAATTAAAAGCTATTTTCCCTGAAAATCTATCTCTAAAATAGTACTTCTTCTAATCTTGGCGGCATACCGGAACTTGCATGTTGGAAAACACCAACTGCTTGGTACAATCTACAAAAAAATTGGAATTCAGCCGGTCTGGAGTGTACCAGGGCCCTAAAGGCTTTTATATAGGCCCAGGTGATTCTAATGTGCAGTCAGGGCTGAGAACTAATGCTCTTGAGGTAAGTATCCAAATAAATGAAGATAAATAGAAATGCTTTGTGGTAGTATTACTAGATGATTCAGAATTGGACTTAAGCTTTTATTTATTAACCCTAAGGGTATGATACATTCTTCACCACAAAGGCCTTCAAACCTTGAACTAAACAAAAGGACTGGAAGATCTGGAGCTTACCCTTCAGTATAAGCAGAAAAACACAATGATGGGGAGTTAAAAAAAAAAGGTGTAAACAGTGGTTACTAGGGAGCTAAAGACTGGAAGGAGTAAAATAATGGATTCAAAACCAAAATTTCATAAATAACTGAAAAATTGAAAATTATGAAAAAATTCTTATGCAAAGTATGTAGAAATAAGAGAAAAACCAACTACAAATGTGACTGTGTCCCTGAAAATATTGCTTGTTATATCAATTTCATCTTAAGGGTTGAAAATAACTGCTATCTTTGGAACAAAAGAAAAAAATAGTTCACATTTCAAAGTCCTTTTCTACCCTTAAAAAAATTCACCAAATATCTTCCTTCTCTAAGACCTTTCCATTTATAGCAAACACGGAGAGTACTGTTTTACAGAAATTTAATTTTTCCATATGGATACAATTCACTGGACATAAATTACACTTCTCATTTGGCCAGGAGAGGGCAGTGTGGTTAATCAGCATATCTTCCCAGAAATTCTTTGTTCAGTAATTTATCTTACAGAACAAAAATAACCAAACTAAGGCTTTTCTTTTCAGAAGAGTTCACGGTGGGAGAACAAAAAACAAAATAACTCTAATAACAATAAAGAGTGAAGCTTACCTCTCTCTTTTTTTTGGATTTGATATCATCAGTATTGTTTGAAAAATTGGATTTCCTCTTGTTACTTTCTGACTTCTCCCTGGGTTTATTGTTTTCACCCTCTTTCATCTTCTTATACTTTTTCATAAACTCAGAAATTAGCTCAGGGCAATCAAGGTTCTTCTCAGGTTCCCAAGTATTGTGTTCCCTGGGCAAAAGAATGGAGGGAAAAAAGCAAAGAATAGAGCCAGGGTAGGGGTGGGGGAAATAGAATGCCTTATTTAAAGAACAAAATGAAATGCAGAAAAAAAGAAAAAGTTTTTGAGATATTAACTTTATCCTAGAATCTATGCAAGGGAAATGAAAACAGACCTGTACGTAATTGTTTATAGCTATTTTCATAGTAGGTAAACCCAGAAAGCAATTCATATGTTTATCAATTGGTGAACAGATAAACAAATGTAGTATATTCAGCAGTAGAAAGAAAAAACTAATACATACAAAAATACTGAAAAACAGCAAGAAAAAACATTATGCTAAATAGAAAAAGAAAAAAACAAAACAAAACAAAAAACCCAGATGCTTAACACTATATATTGACCAAAAGGGAAAATGCATCAAAACTAAGATAAGGCAGCAAGAAGGGGCAGAAAAGAAGGATGTTTGGATACAGAGAACCTAGGGAATCAGTGGTAAGAATGCTATTATATTGAGGAGAATAAACTGAATAATATATGACACAAAATGTATGTAACACATAAAATGTGTTAAAATGGAAAATGAATGAGCCCTGTAAATTTTCACCCAAACCAAAAT